TCTGCACTTCTAGAAAAATTATATACCATGCTTTCTCCACTAGATGTCTCCAGAGAAATACAAGCAAATACTGGTAACAAAAATTACTGCTAGAAAGCACACATTTTTAAATTGCAAAAGTACCCAACTCAATTAGGGTCAAGTAGTTACATCGATTGAGTACTTAATATAAATGTAAGACTTGTCATTTGATAGGCTTTTAAAGGAAGTTAACATTTAAATTTCTACAGGAACGATGGCATACTAACCACATTTATCACAGAAAGCCTTCTGGTTCGCTTCTAAATGAATTAACAATTACTTAGGGGTACAGTTAATCATCTCTTTCTCTGAATATGATTTCATTATCTTAGATATGTTGGGCCAGAATACTCTTTGAAGACTTATGAGTATAGACAGATGAAATCTGAATATGATATTAAATAGATGGCTGGAATATGATACTAAAAAGATGGCTCAGAAGTTGTCCCTCCTTGTAGACTTTACAATGTCTGTCCGGCCACAAATATCTGAGCCTATATATTGCCTTTTTAACCCCTTCAAGTTGGTCACTGATGTTCAATTTTATTTTGGCTGTATGTATATTTTAAAGAGAAACAAAAAATCATTTATAGGGTTGCTAACCCAGGTATCAGGGAAGAATGGGACCCTCGCTAGCCCAGACAGTTGGACACTGGGCAGTGCTATACCATGTTTTACAAATAAATTATATTACATGTAGTTTCCACTTAGGCCAGAACAAAAGCAAGGTGATAAGGAATGTTTTCAATATCCCATGAATCCTATGTTGAAAAGCAGTGGTTTAGAAATAATTTGGTGCAAATAACTACCCTGGATCATTCAAAACAAAGGAAATATTGGTTATAAAAAGTTCTGCCTTTGGCTTGAGTATCCAGGTTGGTTGAATCCATAGCCCATATCCAATCCTATACAGTGTAGGGCAAGTTTAAGATTGGATACATGCTGGTGACAGTAAGCCTGATATTACAGTGACTTCATGGTCTCCAGAGGTTACAAGGCTTCTTATAAAGATCCACTAGATACTTTGCAAACTGCCAGTAAATTAGCATCCTGATGGCTAGAAACAAATGTCCCTGTCTTTTAGACACATTATTCCACTTCCGTTACATAATAAACCATTTCTTTTTCCCTAATGACTTAACATTTCTGGGTCAGACTTCGCAACCCTGCGAGTCACACTTAATTATCATGATTTCAATCTCCCTCTGAACTGCTAGGAAAAGTACGTGGCCAGCCCAGGGTCAGCATCCACTCATGGGGCAGAAGAATAAGGGTCCTGTGTGAAGAGAGACAAAGGGAGAGAGAGTAAGAAAGCAAATTTGATCCTTGATAAGCACTCTGCAAGTGGTGAATCATGTTCTTCCTGAGATCTGTCAATATCTTCTCTAGAACTTGGACGACCTTTTATTCTCATTCTCTGGAACTGTTTGCTTCCCTCACTCTACCCCGAACTGTCAGCTATGAATCAGGGCTCAATCATTAGCTTCCTGCAGCCAGGGTCCTGGATAAAGTAGTTGCTTCGACTTTCTCCCACTATTAGGCATATCATATCACACTTCTGGACTAGCTTCAGCTTTTTAAGTTATGGTGCTACAATCTTTTCACATTTACCCCAAAATTTTCTTTCTCTTGGGATGTTCTCCCACCTTTAAATTTGCAGGTAGTTTATATGCACAACCTGGCCCTCATTTTCAAGATTCTCCTTGATATCATTACTAATCCTGTAATGATATCATTACTAACTGTAAATACTTGCTGAGGGCTGGCATTTGCTGACTTCCATGGAACTTATACAAGTTCCAAACATGATGCTCAGAATGGATAGATTTAAGATCTCTATTATTTGAAATTCTGAAAAGAAAGATTTAAGATCCTTCTTTTTATTGTTTGAGCACATATCATACTTTCCACAAAAAAAGTCAAACCTGTCTCATTTGTCAGAAGAGAGCAGTAATCTTTTGAAATGTGAATGCATTTCCATCTTCCCTACTCATT